CACCAAGAGTACCACTTACAAGTCAATATTTATATCCAAAGATTAGATATTGATATTGTGCTAGGTATCTTATGATGGGCCCTATCATTATTTGAGAATTATATTATTTGCATATTAAGGATATCCATGTGAGCTATTCATAATAATCGTTCTCTAATTCAGTTTCAAGTTCTGCTGCTAATATCTCTACTAGCATCAAATCAATTTCAATCCTTAATGGCACGAACTTCAAGGTATGGTAAGAGAATGTATCGATCGTTCTCAGAGTCATGGATCTAGACCTCACTTTACGGATCAATTAACCTACTAAACTTACTGATGAGAGTACCTCTAATGGCAAGAGAGAGATGGAAAAGTGGGAAAGATCGAACCGCATAAACTTAATTGTCATGAAGCGTGCTATTCCAAAACCATTTCGAGGCACTATGTCTAATGAAGTAAACACAGCTAAAGTTTTCCTTAAGGATCTTGAGAAGAGATTTGCCAAGAATGAAAATGTTGAAACTAGTACATTTTTGACAAATCTTACTTCAATGAGGTATAAAGGAAAAGGAAAAAGCAACTGATAAGGAAGCTGCGGGTATAGCTTCACAAAAGAAACAGCATAAGGAACAAACTAAAGGTGGTTGTTTCTTTTGTGGAGCTGCAAGTCATAAGAAGAAGAATTGTGCAAATTATCATGTACGGCGTATGAAGAAAGGTATTCTTCTTCATTTGGTTTGTTCTGGGGTTAATTTAACTTCAGTATCTAGACACACATGGTGGATAGATTTTGGTGCAATATCTCACATCAGTGTGTCTATGAAAGGTTGCCTGGATTGCCAAAATCAAGTTATGGTAAAAGATACATCTATGTTGGTGATGGCAAGACGGTGAAAATAGAGGCAATATGAAAATTTAGATTATTGTTAAAGACTGGATTTTATCTGGTGAAACATTTATTGTACCGTCTTTTAGACGAAATTTGATTTCTATTTCTATTTTGAACAAATCCGATTATTCTTATTTATTTGGAAATGGAAAATTTAGTTTTCTTCATGATTCAAAATTGATTGGTTCCGGTTCTTTATCAGGTTACGATAACCTTTATTCAATTGATAAGATTACTTTTTTAAATGAATCATTGAATGTAAGTACTCGAGGTGTAAAGCGAAAATTAACAGGCGAGAATTTTGCCTCGTTGTGGCACAAAAGATTAGGTCACATCTTCAAAAGGAGAATTGAGAGACTTGTGTCTAACGAAATTTTCGACCATCTTGACTTCACAGATTATGATTTGTGTCAACTGTCTAAAGGGAAAACAAACCAATAAAAGGAGATTTCAAGTCAATAGGACTTCAGACGTCTTAAAACTTATATATAGGGATATTTGTGGACCATTCCCTACAGGTTTTTGGAATGGTCAATAATATTTTATAACGTTCATAGATGACTTTTCAAGATATGACTACATATATCTCATTCATGAAAATTCAGAGTCACTGGATGTGTTCAATAACTACAAAGTCGAAGTTGAGAACCAACTCGATAAAAGGATTAAAAGCGTCAGATCTGACCGTGGGGTAAATACTATAGCAGATATGATAGTTCGGGTGAACAACGTTCAGGACCATTTGCTAAATTCCTAGAGGAATGCGTTATCATCCCACAGTACACTATGCCGGATTCGCCCACTGTGAATGATGTTGTTGAGAGACGAAATAGAACGCTTAAGTTCCTTTTCAATTGGAAGATACGAGGTCCATTTTGTTGAGTAAAGCGATCTTCGAGTCCATTCCACACTTCCCATGCATCGTCAACAAAGACACCACTCGATTTTATCTCTGTGTTGATCGAGTTTTGGCCAGGATACGATCATATCATTGCACCTCTCCCAAGCATCTAGCAGAAGTTCTTCAGAATCGACAGGTTTGGCAATGCTACCATTGATGAAATCGAGTTATTTTGGTGCTCTAAGAGCTCGTCTCATGGCTCATGGCCGGGTCACATAATGCTCGGCGATGAGATCACTGACAAGAATGATGGCGATGCTATCTCCATAATCGATGCGAAAGAGATTGTTTGGATTGGAAAAGTCAAGAAAAAAGGGAAGAAGGTTTTGGGAAAGTAGTCTTTTAGTGTTCTCTGTATGATTTTCCATAGAAAAGAAGGAAAACGCTGAATCAAAAATTAACCCACGCTCTGATACCATGTAAGAAAAGGAAAAATCTCTGAAACTTTTTGATAGAGAGAAAATAGAATAATTGATCTGCTGCGTATATTGGAATCGATTGAATTCACAAGTATTACAATAAGAATTACATGTTAATGGAAAATGAATATACAAGGTATGACAACATATTTAGAAGGTATGTCGCACCCAAGATTTGTGATAATTGGTCCATGAATTGTGATGTAGCTATTAGCTAAGATCATAGATCTGTACCGGTAGTATGATGTGTATCGCTTGTATGCTGTAATAGAGCTTGAAGTATAAACTTATTTGAAAGTATAGTTGAATTTTAATTGTCTACAAAACTGATCATTAGAAATTGATTTGGGCAAAGCCGTCACCTTTTTCTTTCTATTTTGTCTTTGTTCATCTACCCGCTCATTCCTATATATATTACTCCTTTCAATTAAATTAGTCAAATAGTGGTATTTTAATAGGAAAAGTACTATAAACTTCTTGTCCTAAACACTTAACAATTGTAAATCAATAAGTCTATAAGTACATGGTGATTCACCCTACACAATGTCCAGATGCAGTGCTGACAAAACTGTATTGGACACTGCCAAAGAAGTGCGGTGTTTACCAACATTGCTTTTGGACATTGTACAGGGTGAATCAAATGGCAGAATTCATTGTAAATTTGTGAGATTCAAGAATGTTAGTTCACTCAAAAAGCGGTTGTTAAATCGATGTTTTGAAACTTGACTAGGTGTTTAACCAGTAAAAATAAGGATCAAGAGTCAAAAAATCGAATTGAGATCAATTCAAATATAAAAAATAAATTAAATAAATTGTATGTTATACACATCACCCTCGTTAGAAGATAGTACAAATACGTATTTATTAACAAAAAAATTCTAAATTTGACTGAACTTCTCAAAAAATAAAACTAATCGTTTCACGTGCGATGTACGTGTAATGCATGTCTATACTTACTTACATAGAATTGATTTAATTATATTAATTAAGAGAAAAATATTACATCAATATTTAGGTTCTTGTGAATTGGTGGAGTCCGTTTCCTTTTCAGTTTACTATTTAAATATTAGTCATAATTATTGGGAGCCAGTTCTCTCTCTCTCTCTCTCTCTCTCTCTCTCTCTCTCTCTCTCTCTCTCTCTCTCTCTCTAAATAAATATTAGTCATGTATATATATAAGTGTTTAGTTAATTCGATTAATGTAATCTATTTTCTTAATTTATACAGTACGTTTATTACGTTTTTACTATTTGCTCTCGAGTTTTCGTATGTTTGTAGGGTCCGGAAACTTTTTATTTTTCACAAATAGATATTAGTTTTATTTTTTTTAGTTATTTAAAAAAAAATTGTAATAATACAATCTATTTTGTCAATTTTAATTGGTAAGTTGATTATTCCAACCCATTTATACTTATTATGTTTCTAGTACCTGCGCTCGAGTTCTATGTCGGTAAGGTCTAGAAACTTTTTCATATTTCAAAAATAAATAGTAATCATATATTCTTGTATTATTTAAGAAATTCGTATTAACACAATTTATTTTGACAGATATTACATGTTAAGTTGATTATCTCGATCCATGTCTACATCGTTGAATTAGATTGACCTCCATATTGATATAGATGTCTTCGACGCATCATCACTTCATAATTTCACATTGTTGGTGCCACATGTGTTCTTATTACATTTCTACAACGTGCTCTTAAGATCTCCAATGTCAATAGGAGAAATAGCAATGTGGGATAAATCCTCATTAAAATAGTAATGATAATAAATTACAAGTTGTTATTAGATTTCCCTTGTCTCCTACTCCCTAATGGAATATTTTTTATTCAATTAGTAAGATTAAATAAATGTTATGCTCTTGATAAGTTAAAAGAGAGGAAATCGGATCTATTTTTCCTACATCGCACGCGCTATTCTTTCGACTTCCTTTTGCTCATTAGTCTGAGTTAAATTTTGAATTATATTTTCTCCTACCTTGACTCATTCCCTCCCTGTATGTATAGGTGAGTCGATTTACATCCAAAGTTTGTTAATCAAAAATCCTAGCAAACTCTCACTAACCTCTCTTGTACTCATTCTTATGATTGATTTGGTCTTCGAAATACAAACGATTGTCGAACTTTTTCTGGATGCTAACCTTACACACTAACAATGTGCTTCAATGTCATGTTATGAGTAGACGGATAGGGAAGTGGTGGGGGATATATTATCCAATTTTTTAGACAGATTCATAGCAATAATTACATTTAAAAAAAAAAAATCATATTTTCAAACTCATTTTCAACTACATATCCACTCAATAAAATAATTTTACGCATTAGAAACAAATTTATTTTCACAAAATTCATTTTCAGAAAATGGAGCTCAAGACTAAAGTAAATATGATACCAATGCAATAAAGGGAGTCTAGTGGTTGAACGTCAACTTTGAGGGTCCCCACCGTTCCACTCCTAGATCTTTATGAGGGAGGTAAATCGCAGGATGTGTCCCAACAAGTCGGGAACAAGAGCTGCATGTATACTGCGCATACAAGAAATTAAATTTCATGTCTCAGGAATCGAATCCTCACATTGCGATTGCCAACAAAGCGTGAAATAACCTCACTTCTGTGATTTTCATAGGGGCCTTACAGGGCCCCTCATTGTTTGGGGGTGGGCCCCACATTTTTATTTAAAAAAAATTGTGGGGGATAATTTTAGTCGGAAATGAGTGGAAAACTTAGAAATTTTATATTTATCGTCTTATAAATAAGAAGGGTATTTTACTATTGCAGTTAAAATGTTTCTCTCAAGCGTTTTTTTGTTTTCTCTCAACTGGGATTGTCGAAACGCGGCACCCCGTCAGTGTTCCACCTCCACACCATTCGCATACGTGTCCAACTCGCCGCGTCGCACCGCGATATATATACATATCTATTTCATCACTATCCCCAAAACACCTCTCAATATCACAGTGCATGTAGCAACAATGGCGAAAGCTTCGTTTTTCCTCATCCCTCTGTTCCTCCTTTTTATACTAGCGCTATTTTCAACACGCGCCGCCACCATCGAAGGATTAGTTGGGGGAAGAACGATGGTCAAGGACGTGAAAACCAACAAGGAATTACAAGATCTAGGGAAATACTGCGTGGAAGAGTACAACCGGAAGCAGCAGCACACGGCAAGAATCACCAAGCTTCTGACGTTCCCGCAAGTAGTGGAGGCGGAAAAGCAAGTGGTTTCCGGCATCAAATATTATCTCAAAATTTCCGCCACCACTTACAGCGGAGCTCTCAAATTATTTGATGCGGTTGTGGTTGTGAAGCCGTGGGTCGACACGAAAGAGTTACTCAATTTTGCCCCTTCCCCTTCCACTAAAATTAAGCAGTTTTGGTAAATAATCAATTTAATTGCTGTTTGTAATTCTGATGCTGTGAATTTGATCTGTTGGCAGTAATTTTGTCAATAATCGATCAAACTCTCTCAAAATAAAATTTAGGTGTAATTGTGCCTTCCATTCTTGCAGACGAGATGATGGTCCGTAAATTTTATTTTAGATGAAAATTTTCAAAAATCTTTTAAATTCTATAAACTTTTAAAATGAAAACTATACAGAAATTTAAGATAGACTTCTGCTAATTCCATAAAAAATAGAAATTCCGAAGTCGTTACTTAAAAAATTTATTTAAAAGTCCCAATTCAATACAACCTTCTAAAATTCAAATAAAGGGGTTAGATCTTGTGAACTTCGTTAACAAAATGATTGGAAGAGGTTTAAAAAAAAAAAAAAAAAAAAAAAAAAAAAAAAAAAAACCCCTTTTTAAAAAAGTTTTTCCTTTTCTT